GGTGACCACTGCAAACCAGTGGCTGCAAGCAAAATGGACACTAAGTTTCTGCTACCGGGTTTACTCTTGAATAACCGATGGCTTCCACACCTGTGCAGTGACGCCAGCTTTCTTGGCTGAAAATTTTGGCCTCGGAGCAGTAAACAAAGAGGATGTGGTGGTTTCTGGCTTAGAAAACGCAGAGTAGCCTGTGGGTGAGTACGATTCATTTCCTGGGAGAGAGGCGTTTGACGGGAAGGAAGGTTGGGAACCGTAGGCTGGCACGGAGTACACCGAAGAAGGCCGGGCCCTTGTAGGAGAGCCAGCACCAGGTGGAAGGTAGGTAGGTAAAGGCAGTGTTTGCTTTGAAGGGGACAGCTTCGATGTCTGCTTCATGGCAAGGCTTTCCTTAGGAGGTTGGAAGGTAAATAAAGATGGATCGAGTTGGTAAGGTTGATGTTTCATAATATCCAAAGCGTTGAGACCTTTCTTAGGTTTTCTTTTTGTGCTTTTGGTAGCAGCAGCGGCCTTAGAGGAAGGCTTGGTAGCAGCAGGAGGGTAGGACGGGCAGTGGATGGGATTATAAGCAACGGGTGGAGGTGCTCGGACATTAGGTGAATATTTCCAAGAAGCTGGTAAAGATGGAGTTGGAGATGAGGCTCGTGCCATGTTTGCCTGCACAGTCTCTGAATCCACTACGTACTTCTCCATTCGGGAATGCCTCCTGGCAAACAGCTGTGCTCCTTTCCCACTCATAGCTGGTGGCATCTCGAAGGGAGGCTTTGTTTCTCCAGCACTTGGGGTGACTGGTGTTGCCTTGGGGGCAAGGTTTGGACTCGCCAGGCTGGCCTGAGGCCCTTTGAAAGGACCGGCAAGGTCAAGAGTGCTTGGGGGATGGACGGGAGAATGAGGATACTGTGGAGATTTGGGTGGTGCAGGATACGCTGCCTGAGGTGAGGATGGTGCTGGGAAAGAAGGAGGCTTGTTGGAAGCCGCAGCTGAAGGTGACCAAACTGGTGAAACTGGAGTGCCAGCGGAAGGAGACACCTTGAGTGAAGGCTTTGGAGCAACAGGAGGAGGGGCCTTCTGTTTAGATGTTTGAGTCTGCATGAAATTGCAAGCTTCTGCTCCCAAACTGAGGTAGTCTTCTTCAGGTCCTGACTCAAAACCAGCTCCGGTCCCTTTTTTGCCCTCTGCATTGTGTACAAGGGACAACAGGGCAGGATTAGGACTTACTTTGGGTGCGTCTTTGAAGTTGAACATAGGTTTGGAAGTGCTCCTTCTCTTTGCCTCCTGCAGTATCCCGGTTCTTTTGGCCGGCACGGCAATCCTTTCATCCCTGGAGGCGATGTGTTCCGTGGGCTCAGTGGCTGCCCACGCGGGCGGGGCAGCCTTGCTGGCCACAGGAGCTGAGACAGGTCTGTAGAAAGCCTCAGCGGGTGGGCTGACAGAGCAGTAAGGAGGCGGTGCTGCTGCATCCGAAAGGGGACTGGTGACATTTCTTACCGGTGAAAATGGTGCAGCTGCTCGGTTTTGAACTCCAGAAGGGAAGGGTTTCGCTGTTTTATTCAAAGATGCCGCCTTTTGGGTTCCAGAGGATTGAAACGAGAGGTTTGTGCCAGGTGCTAAGCCAAAGCCATTTTGTTGTACCACTTTGCTGTGATTCTGGCTCACGTCTGTGTAGCTTTTGCTCACACAGGTCTGCTGCCTTGACATTTCCTCCTCTTTTGATTGATAAACGGAAGAGCTCACTTTCTGGAAGTTCTCTGTCACGGTGGTTTCCCTGTGCTCCTCTGTCTGCACTGTGCTTGCCTTCATCTCCTCCTGCTCCGCTGTAATCTGATCCATCCTCTGCCTCCTCTTGGCAAACATGAGGGCCCCTTTCCCTGTGCTGTCTGCGAGCGTCTGCATCTCCTCTCCACTTTTTGTCTTCTTTTCCACCTCGAGCAGACCACTGTCCCAGTCAAACGTCACGATCTTACCGTCCTTGTCAATGTCAGAGAAAAAATCTTCATCTATTTCCGACTCACTCGTTGCAAGCAAACTCACCTCAAAAGTGTTTTCCTTGTCCCCCTCTTCACCTTCACCCTCTTCCCCCTCGTCCTCGTCACGTTCTAACTCCCCAGTCCCGTAGCTGACTAAAGTGTATTTCCTCGCCCTTTGGCGGCGCTTCTTGAACATCAACACCCCCTTGGAATTGGGGTTGGGAGCTGCCGTCAGCAGCAGTGCAATACTTTTACATTTAGATTTGGCTTCTTTGACCTGCTTCTCCGACAGGCTCTCGCTTCGCCGGAGCCCTGTGGAAAGAATCAAAGTGCACATTAAGTTCATGCGGCCCATGAAATCACAAGTTGACTAAGAAGTGTATTTTTCTGTACTGAAATTTATTAAATATGAAAACATTTCTTTTGTATGGAAAGTTCATTATACTCGAGTTTTTCTCACGGTGTCAGCTGTGTTATAAATTCCATACCCAGCATTCCTTGGAGACACACCCATGCAAGTTCAAAGGCTGCATCACTTTCTTTAGGACTCTCTTAGCTCAACAGGAACATTACACATGTTTTTATTTCTAGCATTCTTAATTTTTATTCCCAGCACCAACAGGCAGGTGATATTTTCTTATTTATCCAATTTCTGGTCTGGTATTTTCCAACTATTTGACTACAAGTTCCTAGGCTTACACAGCCATCCCCAGCAGGCAGGCCCATGGCTGCTTAATATCCGAGACCAAATGAAACTGAGCAGATCCTGTGTGACAGTGGCAGCAGTTTCTGCCATACAGGCATTTATTTTACTCCTACAAATTGAAAACTTACTAAAAGTCAGTATGCTACTGCCTATCAGCTGCTTAAAAACAAGTATACATCCAGAAGGGCATACGCAGAAAATATCAGCATTGACTTTCAGACCCTTGGTAGATGTGGGAGTTTGTCCATGGTACACAATGAAAGCAGGTTTCAGTCTTTTAACAAGAATTACTTGCCTGAAATATAAGTTCTGTAAGGTATAAAATATACAGAATATTTATTTTGGAAATGTGGCAAGAGTGAACACACATTGAAGAACAGAACCAAGGAGACTCATCTAACTTCTCAAGGCTACTCACTGGAGTATCAATAACTGTGTTTCTGAAAGCATAAACTACTGGTTTTCATCAGCTCATGAGAAAGAGGAACAGATGCAGCTGCAAAGATGCACTGGACATCAGTGTGATTGCTTCCTTGTAATGGGACATGGAGCATGTGTCTCATGGGGCAGTGCTAGTCAGGGGATGTCCCTTCTGCTTTCCCTTCCTTGTACTCTACCACTGAATCTCATCAATGACAGCTTCAAGAGCTCCTCCCTTCAAAAAACCTGGAATTTAAAGCTATTCCTGAATAAATCAATAGTCACAAGGGAAAAAACATGCCTCTGATAAAAGAAAATAGAACAGTAAATTATTTAGTATCTTTTGCTGGCATAAATAAAGCAAATTTATTAAAGAAAGCCATGCAATGTGTTTTCTAGTCATGATCCTTTTAGCCATGTCAGTAGATGGAGTCTGATACTTCTCCTATTAAAGACAATTGGAGTTTTGCCATTATGCCAGATGACTGCACAACTGGACCAATGGTCCTCACAAGAATGTGTAAAAGAGAAAAGACCTTGGCACCCAAACCAGCAATTTGTAATATTTTATTGTTGGTGAGCCAAATCACAAAATCCTTGGCTCAGTCCTGTGACAATCCAATTGCTTACAATAGTCATTGAAGATATTTTCCAAAACTATGGGTTTTGGTGTTAGAGTGCTACCTATTCAGGTAAATATAATCTGAATAATATTTACAGAGAAAATTTCTGCTAAAGAGATCAAAGACCCATAATAAAAATTCTTCTCTAGTTCAGACTTAAATGCTGCATTATATTTTTTACTTTGGCAGAAAATACACACAGTATTTGCTGCACACAGAGTATTCACTGTGCTGGGAAATTTGTTTTTTCTAATATGTAGATAGGTTAATAATGATGATGATGATGATGATAATAATAATAATGATGCAAAAAAATGTATCCAAGTAGTGATTCCTAAGGATAATGACCTGACACCAGTTTAGAAGGGACTGAGATTGTCATAGTTGATGTGGGAAAAGGACAGGACTTCTGTTCTTAGAAGTGTTTATCATGTAAAAAGTAGCTCATTCTTTGTACTTTTGCCTTTTAAGATAAAAGGCACTGCAAGTAATTCCCTAAGAAATGCAGGCACAGTCCCACAGTTGGTTCTGACTTCACAGCCAAAATGTGAAGCATGCGCACTTTTCTTTTATACTTCATTTAATATGCCCAAAATATGTGGGTTGCATACAGACACTTAGGTATAAGTAACAGCCTAATCCACTTGCCAATGAGACACAAATGGTTATCATGCTAAAAATATGCTTCCAGAGGAATTAGCAGTGGGTTAGCAGAGGAGTTCCAACGCTGCATATGAAATAGTTTGTTGCTACAGTATCTCACTGCACACATTCAAGCACCTTTGACATACTGCTACTAAATCCCCAGACAGGATTCTTCACATTGTTGGGAAGGAGCAAGCAACCAACAGAAAGGTCCCAGATGAATAAAATAACAAAGAAATACATAGATTAATTAATAAATAATACACATATACACCCAGTTAATCAATATTGGCTCCAGTGGCAAGTTTGCTTCCATGTGAACTTCTTGGACACATTTTGAAGCCGACCTCTGGGTCTGGGAGTCAGGAGAAATAACATGTTCACTTTACAGTCTAGAGAAGGCTGACAAAACCAAAAGGATCATGTAACAGTTATACACATGCTGGTGTCCGTCAAAATCTCTTCTGCAGACAACATCAAGATTTGCTGCTAGACTTTTTTATTAGCTTTTCAAAGCAGTGGCATGGCTTTGGTTTTTGATGATGCAAATGGCAATGCAAAGCTTTTGCTATAAAAGGAGAAACCCACAGGATTCACTTAGACATGTGCAAGCAACTTGCTGTTTTTGTTAATATTTTACAGATTGCCACTGAATATGAGTGAGAAGACCAGCAGAGTTCAGCCCTTTCTGGAGATGTAAGTATTTTTAGTTGGACAAAGTCATGGGTTAATTTCAAAGTGGAAGTCTACTAAGCAAAGTTATTCAGCACAGTTAAGGCATGGGTACACTCTTGGCTCATCACCAGGAGCATTGTATTACCCTGAAAAAATATATAAAGCAAGAACAGAAATGTCTCTTGAAAGAAAAAGAGATAGGGAAAGTTAGAAAACTGCAGGAAAAAAATCTCTAAACATTTTTTCCCTAATGCATTCTAAATCCTGAAATTATATCAAAAGCTACAAAAGATGCCCCCAGGCAGTGCAAATGGTTAGATGGGACATACTCACTTGCGTGCCTTGCCCTGTGCTTGAGAGGTCTGTGTTCCTTTTCCGAGTGCTTGCTGTCTTCTCCCTGCACTGTGACTTCTGGTGAGATTGCAAAGGAGAGGAGGGAAGGAGGTGCTTCTGACTGCCCTCCTTCTACTTGAGAATCAACACACCCCCTTTCAGACTGAGACCTGGGCGCTTCCTTCTCCCTGTCTGAGCAGTCCAGGATCACCTCCACCCTGGGGATAGATGGAGCTGCACCTTGGATCCTCTTCACCTCCTTGCTGCTAGAAAAGTGGACTACTTTGTTTGACCACTGGATGTTGCCCTCCTTTACACCCAGAGGAACTGCACTGAGGGAGCTGCTCCCATCATGTGTTGCACTGGGTCCTCTGCCTGAAGGGGGGCACTTTTCTGCCCCCAAGAGAGTCACAGCAGGAGCACTGGTGGCCTTGTGCACGTCATTTGAGAGGGAAAACTGCAGCTCAACCATAGCACCCGGCCTTTCTTCTGTCGTCCCTCTGACAGCAGCCTCGTCTGTCACGATCACTTTGGGGGTGCCTATCACTTTAGGAGGAATTCTGTGGCTTTGTATTTGCAGTGTGGTGTTCTCCCTGTAGTCCTCAATTTTTATGTTCTCGTGCTTCCCGTTTTCTCTTTCAGAGCTCAAGGTTTCATTTATTCCACTGGAGGATCTGCACATACATAAACAATTCGAGAAATTAGGCTGCTTTAAGCACAGCCATTGTAAATAGAGTTACAAAAGCAATTTCTGCATAGTGTTTCCCCACCCTAATTAATTGTGGCACCTTCTACCAGGTCTACTTAGATAGAAGAATTTTCCCAGAATGTAGAGGTCTCAAATAGAAGCACCTTTCAAAATTGTTCAACTTAGCAGTCCAGTAAGAGGGAAATTACACGACCCTGGTGGAACTATGACCCCACTACAAACCTGAAATGTGGAACTGTGTCATTCTTAACATCAGTGTGCTTTCACAGACACATTTCTGTTACAGGGTTTCCAGACAAAGGCTGCTGAGACTTTTGAGACAATGCTTCTTCATATTTCACATGTCTGTGAGAAAATTAACTTTGCATGACACCAGAGGAGTGGTTAATTTTTGGCTCTGTAGCCACTACTGCAAATGTTTAAGGCACCATCCTTACATGTGGTTCCTGTCCCAAATCATTCACTCTCTAAGGAATAGAGAAGTACTGGATAAGGATGAGAGGGATTCAAATGTGTTTTTGAAATTCACATTCAATGAATTCCTGTGAGGATCATCATCCTTATATATCACAAATTAATTGAAATATTCTGGGCCTATTCCAGTGGTCCAGCATAAAAGGTTAGTGAACCTATACAATATTTCCTACTTATTGAAAAAGATATTATTTCTAACTGGAGAATGTTATCCTTGCTTGTGAATAAATGTCAGTGTAGCTCCTTCATCTAAGCTATTAAATCCCCTGGCCCAGTTAAGCTGATTTACTGCTGTTAGGACACCTGCTATAGTCTTTAACTCCTTCTTTCAGTACTCTGCACCAGACTGACTGATATTAATTTGAGGAGAAACCTTCTGTGGAGCAAGGCTGCAGCATGTTATTAAGAATTTCTATCTGCTAGAATGTAGCAAAGCACTTTTTCAAATGAGGGAATTGGTAGATGTCCCCAGTAAAGTATTAAGTACTATGGAGATTTTTGAAATCAAAAGCAGCCCTGGCTATTCTGAAACTTTGGAACCCCCTAGAAATAAAGGTTGGAAGAAGCAGCAGAAGGAATAAATCTGTCAGTGTGCTGAAGAAACTTCAATATCGCTTGCTTTTTAGTCATGCAGCTTACTGCTTGTGGCAGTCTGGGTCTGCCTCAAATAGCACGAAATGTGTAACATCCATTTCACCACACATGGGGCTTGGTAAAGGTCAGACAGATTTTAATTTAGGGAGCTCTTTGTGAGTGCTGCTGGATCCCATCGGATGATGCTATTGGGATGATCAATTGTACCGCTCTCGCACACAGATAAATTACAGAGATCTGTAAACATTTCCTTGTAAGATATGGACTAGGGGCTGGGCCAGCTAAATGTTAGCCTTTATTGGTAGTTGAATGATTGTGTGTATGTGTGGGACAGAAAGATTTCCACCTTAAAAGGCCCTTGCTACGTATGGATATATTTCTACTCTATATAGACATAATTGTGTAGCCTCTGTCAAAAGGCAGAATACTGAGTATGATTTCTTTTTTGTCATTTTGGATTCTGTTTTGGCAAATTATTGTTTTTGTTTCAGGCCTTTCCAGCTCACTGCAGGAGCAACAGCCCTGGTGTAATTCCAGGAAGGAAGCAGAACTCCTGGAGTCAGCATGGCAGGGTTTGTCACAGGCTCATGTTTTACTCCCTACATGGAGCATTTCATGTCGGCATGCACAGAGCATTCCCTTCTTCTCCCTAGAAATGTTCTCTCCAGACTCAGCAGCAGCCCAGGAGCTGCTAACACTGATGTGAGAAGGGCAGGCCGGCGTTTCGGTGTCTGTCCCCTCTCTCCATGTTTCCCGGATCCATCTGCTCAGCACTTGCCGGGAAGGTCAGTGAGATGTGCTCCCCACCACGGCATCTGGGAGTGCCCGCCCTGCAGGGTGTCCCTTTCCTCTCATCCTGTAAACCCAGCATTTTCTGGGCACTGCTGCTGGTCAGTAACTCACTGCGGCTTACACGGCATTGGGAAAACTTTTGGTAGACATCAAAGGCCAAGTAGCATTTTAAAAACTACTTTAAAAGCCCAATTTTCCTCCCAGTAAGATTTGTAAGAGCAGAATTAGGTCAGCAATTAATGCCTGTGAAAATCACATCCTTCGTGCAAAAAGTTCAGGGACAGCCAGGAGCTTTCCAAATATTCTTCCCTGCTAACAAAAGATACTTAGATGTAAAGATCACCAGTGGAATACCACTTAAATTATTCTTTCCTCACGCTTTCCATTTTCTTGAGATGGCTGCTAACAAGTGGCTACTCAGGAAAGGAAGGATTTGCTTCTCACTGTTCTCAAAGGATGCTAATATACTTCCTGAAAAATCCTTCTGGGGGTAACACTGAGAGGGATAGTACCCACAAAGGAGGTGGGAGGGGAAGAGAAATGTTTCAGTCCATTCTCCCATAGCTGGGAAGATACAGACAGCAGAGGCTGGGATTTGGGAGAGATGAGCTGATGAGAAAAAATTTAAAGATTCTCACAGTGAATTTCTTTAGAACATTGTAGTCACTTTCAGAATGCTGAGCAACTGCAATTTTCCTAAAATTTCTGACATGGTTTCATTCGATGAAACACTGAATTATGTGGTATAAACCCTCTGTTTTGGTTCTGATTTTCAGGACATGCTTTTCTGCTCATTCAGTCAGGGGCAATGGAGAGTCCCTTTCAGCTGCAGCATCCTGTGGCCTTCAGACAACTGAAATATCAGTTATGGAACAGCAACAGGCAGGAGTCAAAGTATGTGGAGCTATTTCTATGGCTGAAGAGAAGACAGCTGGTCAGCCACAAATACCATTCTTACAAGTGCAGTCCCAATAGCCACATTATGAATTAAAAGCAGAAGAATGCAGCTATCACATGAGGAGCACTCAGCTGGTCCAGGAGCAGGAGCTGTGCACTCTGGGGAAGGTAAGCTCTAATCCTCAGCTACCACTGTCCCCCTGATCCTGTCACACTGATCCACGACTCAGCCCCAGACACGTACAGACAGGCCATGCAAAATGTCTGTTATAAATAAAATGAGCACTCCTTGAAATCATCTAGTTTTGAAGGCAGACTGTCACTTTGAACTTCTAGGCACTTGAGGAAAGCTCCTTTGTGCAGGTTGCAGGAACCATGAGGAATTTCACATGCTGTGCAGACATCTCTGGTAGCCAGAGACGAGTGCCTATTTTCAGCCTGGATGCTGCTCTGGTAGCTGTCATTATGAATCCTGATCCTTTCCTGGTCTTGCCTGTGAAAGGGAGCTGCAGTAGCTCTGGGGGGAGCCTTAAGTCCTTAAAAGGAGTGTGGGAGTTTCAAGACTTTTCTTCCTCTTCTTACCCCACTGAAGGCAATTCAGAGTTCACCCTGCCTGAATTCACAGTCTGGGGAGAATGTGCTTTACTGTAGGTGGCTCTGAATTGAGCTTGCATTTATTTCACTGATGGCAATTACAGAGCAGGCACTGGAGCAGACTGATGTTCAGTGAGCAGTAATGCTGGCCTACTTGCAAGTTTGCATGAAGCTTCTCTGCTCTAAGAAACTCAAAGCATTTTCAAAGAAAACTGGAATTCCCTCTCACTGCTTTACAAAGGCAGAAACTGAGACCCAGAGAGCTGTGACTTCCCCCACCTCATCTAGTGAGGTGATAACAGCTACAGAAATAGAATTCATGACTTCCAGACCCTCTCCTCCTCCTGACCACTAACACATTTTGCCACCCAAGAAGACCATTTGCCATGTCATCATCAAGGCATATCTGGGTAACACAGTTTCTCCATCTATACAGCCTTTGTTTTTTGTAAGCCTCACTTCCCTATCTGTGGGGAATAACAACACTTGACTGCTTCAAAGGGGTGCAGAGAATAACTGAACTCAAGGCTCTGCAGTATGCATATATGGTAGTGGACACCTTGCAAGTATTAATACTTACATTTGGAGACTCTACTATTAATTCTGTGCCTGACTGCTGCTGTTCAAATTATATACATTAACTCCTTCAGCTCAAATTCTCTGTCTTCCTTTTCCATCCAAGCAGAGTTACAGACATTAACAGGACTATCAAAACCTCTCAGTTTAAGTCTGCAAAACGAGTGTGTTCAAAGCCAGCATTTTCCAGGTGATTCACTGAATTGCACCAAAGCATCCTGAGCATTCCTGTACCTCTTGATAAGCATCTGCAGGACGTCAGTCAGGCTTTCCATCAGAACAATGACTTCAGCATAGGTCAGGTCTCCACAAGGCTTGCCATTGATAGACACCACCTCATCCCCCTCACACAGTCCAGCCTTGGCTGCTTTGCTTTTGCTGCGGACCTACAACGAGTCAAAAAACAAATTCCAAAAGGCACAATTAGTAGTGTTCATTTGAAAAGAGCAGCAACCATGTCCTCAGCATGCTTTTTGTCTGTGCAAAAGGATCGATAATATTGATCATAAACAAATTTGCGGTAACACAAATGAATAACTTGTCTCGGTTGAGGTTAATACTGCTCTGGCCAGTAATAATACGAAACTTTCTGCTTTACTGAACTTTTGAGCTAGGTGTCAAACATGCTAGATGAATTCTTTTAAAACTGGGAGAAACATGAAAATTTGGGACAGACAACAATCAATTGATCACAGTTTAGCAGAACTGCAGAAAGACATCTGCATCCCTGGAGATCCTAAATCTATGCTTAGTCACGTGAGTAAGTGCCCTGATTTATTAAAGCACACTTGTTATGGTCTAAACTTCCCTGTTAGGTTCTCATTCAAGAATCCTGTGCAGCTCAGTTTTTTGCAGTTTCACTCCTTTTTCCTCTGGCAGTGTGTTACAACTTATCACAGTCTTTGCATAACAAAACCCAGACAGCTCTAACACCACTCAAGGTATGCCTACAGTTGATAGCTGCTTTTGAAGTACCTATTTGGCATAGAGTGTGTTATATTAACCAGGATTCTTGCACAAATCTGTTTTAGAATGACATATACACATAAAAGGGTGGGCCTTGAGTTCTTTGATCTCAGCCTTCTACCTGTTGGTGTGAGTACTTTGGCCTTATACCGTATCCAGTTGCTGATTCAGTATGTTACCCTTGTTAATTCTCACAGAGTTTTCTTGAATTTTTTTTTAGAGAAGTAGCATTTCCACCACACTTCACAGTAGCAGAGTCAGTCCCTTCTGACTCTAGGGAAGCTACTTCTGATATACTCTGGATCTGAGGGTAGAACTGCCACACAGACTCATGGAATTGCCCCAGATTTTCGATTAAGCCACTGGGCTGGTGCCTAAGATGCATTTCAGAAAGGAAGTTCCTTAGAGTCAGGATGATGTGGGGCACAACAGTAAGACTGTACATTTTTCTGTGGCAGGGCCACCATATCTATCTCTGCTGTTTCAATTTACACATTCCCATATGTCACATTATGGCTCTTGGAGCAGTGAAGGAACAGAAGCCTGGTGCATACAGAAGGCAGTTTCTACCTTGCAGAGTTAACATTTACAAATATGGAGTGGTATGCTGCTCTGTTTATCTCCCCTTGGACAAGAGCATAAACATCCTTGTGCCTTGGGAAGAAATGACACTTTAGGCAGTGTTTAGAAGGTTTTGCTTCATATAAGAGCTAACATTTGGGTTGAGGTTTAGTTACTATCTTTTTTTAAGTAGGAGGGTATGCTATTAAAATTTTACAAGACATTCTTGGCCTGAATGTAAATATTTAATGTAGATACCATGAAGAATTTTGAGTGACCCTTTTTCAGAAAATCTATGAACATCCATTATAGAAACCTGTGAACTCTGAAATAGCATAATGTGATACCTAGATTGTGAGAAGAAAACCTGTTTCTCTTTATTTAGTGTTTGAGGGACTACTTGGTAGCATTAAAAAGGAAAAAGAAAAACAAACAGACAAGGGGATTGATTTTCCTTTCAAAGTTCTTAAAAGGTTCTCTCAGTCCATTTTTCTGCCTTGTGAATTGTTGAGAGATCACAATTCTGAGATATTTGAAACTTCATGCAGTAAAACACTCCCAAATTTGAACAATGTTTATATAAAGTCAGTATTAACCATTTTTTTTTTCTTGGTGTTTCTATTGGTGTAATAAAAGGGAAGAAAGAGTACCCAGAAGAAAATAGGCAAGGGCAGACTGTGTGGTAAATGACAGCAGGTTGCTTCTAAGATAGAATATCCTACCATCATTCATGTTATTTCAGCCTCAGCATAACACCCACTTACTCAACAACATGTAGACTGCTTTGCCAGGCAAGCTGTAATTGTTTCTGGCTTTGTTTAATTCTTTTCACTGGAAACCCACAAAAATGAATAAATAATTTACTTGTGTAAACTGAAACTTTTCAGATTTCTGGGAAAAAGAATATAAATAAATAAATAATAAATATCCACCCAGAACAACAAAAACAACAACAAAATTCCAAGAAGATCTGTGGAAAGATCTCCCTGGTAAAATATGTGTTTGGTGGACAGTTTTCTTTCAAAGTTTTGGCAGAAAGCCTTTGAGGACCCCTCTGGGAAACAAAAGCTGCTTTTGTTAGCAGAAATGCAACTTGGTCACACAAAGGACATCAAGAAACCTTTATCCAGTTCTTGGGAACTTAAAGCAAGGCATATTTGGTAGTAAAGCAGGAGAGATTCTTATAAAACCAGCAGTTGCTCTTGCCTCCTAGTGCAGCCCTGGATTTCTCAGGTGCTTATTTCTCCTATGCACTGGTGTTGAAATTTTCCTTAGGAAGAAAAAGTGCATTTTCCCATCATTTTTTTTTTTTAATGGCATCTGACCACAAGAAAAATAAGTTTGGATCTAAGTTTTCCCATGCCTGCAGTACCAACATAACACAGCAAAACTGGGCTGGTGCTGAACCTGCCAAGATACCAGCTGTTACTGGGCACCTTGAAGAGTTTGCCCCATTTTCAGCTGGTGCTGTCTCTATTGCTTTCCTGCACTCCCTCAGTTAGGACTCTTTATTATTCAATGTACATGAAGTGCGTAGTTTCTTTTTATTCCCAGATTTCTCCTGTATCCAGAATTTCCTGCTATCAGGAATGCCCTTGGTTGATTAAATGTCAGGTGCTGAGCAATTCCTCATATCCACACAAATATTAAACTTAGGAGAAAACTATTCCATGCTATGTGAAGAACTTAACCTGGGTGTTATCTGAGCACCCCAGGGGACCCAGGACCCTCTGGCACCAGTCCAAAGGCAGCAGGAACTGGGGGCTCTCCAGAGGCTGCTCAGGAGGGTCTGTGAAGACTTCAAGTGGAAACTGTGAGCGAGCAAGGTCTGGGTGCTGTGCTGGCCTGGTGAAAGATCACCTCCCCAAGACACAGGCATGTGGGGAAAGTGCAGGACAGGAACTTTGGTGGTGGCTCTGGGATGCTGCTGGTGCTGGAGTAGCCATGGGTGCCCACAGCATATGGAGTTCCAGCCAGATTCTTAACCAGTAAAAAAAGAATAAATGGATGGATACACAGTGGTTGTGCTCTTGTGAGTGTGAAGAAAAGGGGTATTTTTAGGGAAAACAAATGGGAAGGCCCACCCTCATTCTGTATATGCTGTAGTGCTTTTGATTTAAACAAATCAAGAGTCCTTCTGCCAACTGGAGACTCCTTCCCACGCAACTAGATCTCCTTTGATTTACTCTGAAAGCACTCCAGTTACAACCCAGAACTGTTCCATGCAATGAAACAAGGCATGGTAAATCAGGAATAACAGAGAGATCTGCTTCAAAAAATGCTTCCCTGAATGAAGCTCAAAAGCTGGAGTAGATGCACCTGTTACTTGTTGTGGCTGCATGTGGATGCACAGAGAGCAACTGGGGCTCAGCTGACCAGCTGATGATTTTGGGTGCATGTCTGAGCCCTATAATAAGCAGATCAGAGTTGAGGTATTTTGAACCTGGTAACAAGGTCAATGAGTTGTAGTTTAAAGTGAGACAAATGGATTTGAGGACGCTCTTTAGTCCAGGTTCTCTAATGGCACAATGAAGAATTATTAGGACGTTTCATCATCTCGGTTTTACCAGTGATTTTTGCTAAGGATGATGTGCAATTTAATCTTGTCCTGGAACTGAGTTTATTCTGGAGCTAGGAGCACAAACTTTTATCTGGGATATGTCTAAGTGCTGTGCATCAGGTATAGCCTGACTGAGCAACCAATCTGAGGAAATGAGCAATATAACCATAAGCATAGTCCATTTAGCCTAAAATTATATCTAATAAAATAAGATTTATGTAGCTTTAAAATATACATATATTTACACAGCAAAATTCTGAATTTAAAGCAAGATTTCAAAAACCATGAGATATTTTCAGAACTATTTTCACTTTTTCAGTTTGCCAGCAGCTTTTAAACAGCAGAACAGGAAATTTTGCCACTGGATGTAGTGGAAGTATCCTTCCCTGCCATTTAAGGCCCTTTGTTCATACAGACAGAGAAGTTTCTTTCATTGAGGGGTCACCTCTGGAAGAGCCTATTGCATTGAATATCCTGTCTGATCTCTGAAACCTCATTTGAGCTGCTGTTGCCCCTCAAGGTTTGAAGCTGGTTCCCGAGGACCTTATCTACATGCGTGTCCTCAGTGGTAGGTTTGGGTCTTTGGTGGCTGGCCTTGTGTTCTGCTGTGATGAAATATGTTGCCCAAAATAGCAAGGCTTACTGGGCAAGGGACTTCTGTAAATCAGTTGTCCATCCTCATTATTGTTTATTACTTTAGTTATGTCAGCTGCAAACTTTACCAGCAGTGGCTGTGTTTTCTTTTAAACACAGTTGGTTGAACATCAGTAACAAAGGATGTGTCCTTTGACTACTGTTATGCCCTTCCTGAAAAATGATTCCCCAGATTAATGTTACCTGCTCAGACCCAACAATTAGCCAGCTTTTAAAGCAGTTTTTTTTTTTTTATTACAGTAGCAACCTTTGATGTCTTGTTGTTATCAGTAATGAAGAGATGTATTTAAGAAATTTCTATTAAATAGCCCTTCAAATGTAATCATTAACCTAAATCTTGGGATTAGTACCCTTACTCTGTAGAACTATTAACTAATAGAGTGACATTGCTTAAATGTGCCTTGTGTTGAGGTTTTTTGAATTGTTCTGTTGTATTGCCAGAGATAAGAAATGGTAAAGAAGCAGAAAAAAGAGAAAAAAACAG